ATCTCTCTCCTGCCATCCATCTCCATCCTCTGACAAACAGAGGCTAGGGACACCATTCCTTACCCATCCTGGCTAATAGCCATTAATGGACTTAACCTCCATGAATTTATCCAGTTCTCTTTTAAAGAAGCCAACACTGGACATGTTACTCTGACAGTTGGCCTCATGAAGGTGCAGATGCTGTATGCTTTAAGTAATGCACTATTGCATGGATTATATTAGGTATACTGTCTCAAAGGCCTCTGTGAACACTCATGAAAAGATAGAATTGAATTGGTATGATCAAGCCCCTTGTGATGCCTGAAGCTTGGATTTCATGAACCAACTGTTTTCTCCCACAGACCTGGAGGGATCTTTGTTCAATGTTATCTGCTTGTTCCTGTAAAAGGCAGAGTGAGGAAGGCTACTAACTAAAAAGCTGGCAGGACAAAACAGGAATATGTTAAAACAACACAAAACTTGCAGAACTAATTAAAATGCCAAGCACAATTTGCCTCTTACCAAACTTAAATTCTAAAAGCTGATGAACACTCTCCTCTATCCATCCCTGTCTTGGATTTCGTGCCAGTGTATATTTTGCTCTATTATATCATTTTAGCCCAAAGAAATGAACTGCAACAAACTCTAGTATCAGATGAGTCACTAAAAAAAGATTAGAGGGAATCTGATCCTCTTATTAGCAGCTTGATCTTTGAAGATGGAGGTCACAATGCCTTAACTGAAGTCTTCCTATTTTCTATTTGCCAGATTCAATCAGTTCTTCAGGGATAGCTAATGGATTTTGCAACATCGCTATACAAATCTTTCAGCAGATTAGAAAATGTGGAGTATTAACCTTCATTTTAGATCTATACAAAGCAATAAGTGTTACTATGTTCGTTTTAAGACCAGGAAAACAAAATGACAACTAGCTATGTGACCTTGGACAAGCCATAACCTCTGGGCCTAATTTACACCATCTGTAAAAGGAGAATAACATAGTTACTAACTGCATAAACAATGGACCAGAGAACCACATGAAAACATGCCTTACAGAGAGATTTAATAAACTTTAGTTAGCTTATTGAGAAAGCTAAGAAGCACCTGTGTCATGTTCTATAAGCACTTCCACAGTCAGATAATATCTGAGTAGAAGGCTCTTTAGACATGCAAAAGCATAAGAACTAATGGCTGAAAGTTGAGGCTAGATAAATCCAAACCAGAAAATGAGGCACATTTTTAAAAAACAAACAAACAAACAGAGTAGTTAGCCACTGGAACAACTTACCACTGGATGCAGGAAGCACAGAATGAAATTCTATGGCATGTGTTATGCGAGAGGTCAGACTAGATGAACACAATGGGCCCTTCTGCCCATAAAAATCTATGCACATACCTGCTACAGCCAAGTGTATCTATCTAATGCAGATGAGCTTCCCTCAGGAAAATAACTGCCAGAATACAGTCCTTATCTGACAAAGAATGATGAGCTGAGGTAAGTTTTTATTTTGACTCAAAGAATCAGAGCACTGACTGGGGCCAGCTCAGGAATTCCTCAGGGTAACATGCTATTGCAGTTTAACACTTTAAATGTAATGGGTAAGTTACTAAAAAAGGGACACCAGAACAAGTATTTTTACTCCATTATTTATTCCCTCTGAGAAACTTGAAAGATTATTTGTCATTATTATAAAAATTATTAATTTTGCCATTTTCTATTTGGCAAATATTTGAGGTTCTCTCCATGTGTTTCCAATGGAGCTTGAAATTAACAAAGCCTTTCAATTTACTTAATTGTTTGTGCATCAACATCAAGAGCTAGTAATTATGTTTGGCAATTAACTTGTGCTCCCTCTGCTGGCTCTGAGATAGCCAAGCACAAAACATTTTTTTAATCCAGGTATTCTATAAGCAATGGGTTTTGGAGGAGATTTCCCCTGTCCTATGATCTTTTAGTTAAAAAATACTTCAAATTTTCATCTGTGATCGATTTTTACAGCACTTATTGCACAATATTTAAGCACTGAGTTCTGCACCTAAATTACTAAAATGTGTCCATTTAAACCAATGCACAGTTTAGCAGGTCTATGAATATATGTTTTTCCTACAGAAAGGAGCTCTCCGTATCAGCACTTCTCATGCACCTCAGAGATTGTTCCCACCCAGGTAAGACTGTCTCACCTTATAGGTCAAGAACTGAGGAAGTTCACCTCCTTTTTAATTAAAATTTGGTTTCCTGTCAGAGGTCTGCATGCCATTGAGGGTCTTAGAATAGAGAATATAGTTTTCTAAAAATAGGCTTTTTCTTATTCTAATTTAATTCCCAACGGTGTTAAGCGCTGACAGATTTTTTTAAAGATATTCTATTTTTATAATTCAAAGCAAGCGCACAATACAAAAAAAGGTTTAAAAATTGCAAAAACCTCTCCACTTCAAAACAGTTCCTCAGACTGTACAAGTCTTCTACCAATTCAGCCCTCCTTTGTTTTTAGGAACAGTGCTCCAATGCCAATGAAAAGAAGTATACCACCCTACCCTGCTTGCCAAGGGACAGCTGCTGCAAGTATGAAATCACCACTGTTTTGCAAAGCAGTAGCAACATTGTTTAAGAAGACAAGAGTTTAAGGATGAAAGAATGAGAATACCCTTCCATTTAGTAGCTATTATTATTGTTCATTGTAAGGAACAATCTTCTACAGCCCAAGTTGGCAAAACCTGTGTGGAAAGTTCAATTTGAAGCAAGGAGCAGCACTGACCTTACATAATCACTGAAGAATAGCCTTCTCAATAATTTCACGTTACAGGAACAAAGCTGTAGTCCTATTGGTGCGAGAGTGTGTTTACACTGCAAACCACTATAGTTCCTTACAACAACAACAAAAATTTTTTCCATGCTGTAAGATTACACAAGGTTCAAATTTCATACCATTCAACTTGTCTGTCAAAATTCACCATCTTTTGAAGGGCAGGGAAACCTGAGTGTTCACCAGCTACTGTTTATTCATAATTCACACAACTCTCCAAATGAAAATATGAAAATTTGGGGGGGTGATTCTCTTATTTCAGGACTAACTCCACGTTTTCCATCCTTACAGGATAAAGAACACATAGGTAGGCAGCAAGAAAGACGTATACTTTCTCACTCAAAGAAGAGCGTACTAAAGATGAGGTACTACTGGCAAGGCCATACGAGCACGGCTATGCATCTGGATTTCCAAAGGAATATTGGGAGAACGGTTTCTCTAGCTCACCAGTATTTTCTGAAAATCAATTGCACAGCTCCTCTGATGAACTATCTTTAAAACACACTGGGGGGAGGGAGAGGGCGGTGCATGGAGAGACTTTCGGTAGCATTGCCCTCATGAGCAGTCCTGAAATGTACACAATTCATTTTGAAATCAAGTAGATATAGCAGACAACAGGCTGATTTCAAAATAGCTCAGAAAGAATGAAATGAAATCATGACAAACACACCCAGCTATGACTACCATGATAGATGTATTAGAAATGCAATTAAGATATTTCATTTACGTCCGCAGTGAAACCATTACCTGGTATGTAAATTTCACAGCTTCATAGCAACTAGCCAATTAGCTGAGAAGTCAGAGAATTTCCTGCCCTTTCCCCCATTAGCATTCTGCACACTGTGCTCTCCTGCTAGATCTGCTATTCTTACACCAAGCCCTTTGACCTCTTGACGTGGGCGCTGGGAAATACCAACTCTTTTAGATACACACAGTGGACTTTCATCACTTACGCTTACACTACTCCTTCAAATCGGCATTTTAAATACATGGTCTCTGTGTCTCTATTCTTCCCCTCCCTCCACATACATGCCCTCAAAAGATACTCCACCATTTATTTACAGGCATTTCTATACCGTACTATTCAAGGGCCTATTGATTTATGGCACAATACCAGATCTGGACCACGCTTATATTTAATTTTTCTCAAAGATGCGGGACAATCAACTGAAAACTGATTAGTTTTAAATCATTGCGTGCTCGCTGGTAACACTCCTGGGACGAGGAAGTTTAAGTCTGAGAAATTTTAATTGCAAATTATTTGTCCCTAAGGTGTTCCAGACTCTAAAAAAGTAATCCACTGCTTTCTGCTGTGCTTATAAAATTCTGTGCTTTTTACACTGATCGTACAGTCATTTGTTTTAATAGGATATCATACTGCCAATGTTAAACCTGTAAAGCTGAAATGCACAGACAAAAGTCTCAGCTCCTGGGTACATTATCCTACATATCTAATTAGTAAATGATATGTTACTCATGAATTATGAGGAAAGTGGAAGCCTGAAGGAGGAAGATAAAGGGTTAAGTCTCAATTTTGGGATCTACATATTATTAAAAGTAGCAATTTAGCTTTATAGGATACATTTCTATCTTTGTATGCAGTACTGTTGTAGCCATGTCAGTCCCAGGATATTAGAGAGACAAAGTGGGGGAGGTAATATCTTTAATTGGACCAACCAGCTCTTCCTCAGATCTGGGAAAGGTACTCAGAGTGTCACAGCTAAATACAAGGTCGAACAGATAGCGTAGCATAAGTAGACACCACATTCTAAAGAACCATTCAAGGTGAAGCGACCCTGTAACATCCCTACAGACACAGGACAAAAAGGGGAGTAAGTGGATTACAGATTGTTATAAAACAACATAAATCCAGTGTCATCATTAAGACCATGATTTTTAGTGTCTTGTAAAGTTATAAATGTAAGCTCCCAGGCTTGTCTTTTGAAAGTACTGTGCAGGTTTCCTTTGAGGATGAGGACTGACAGTGATCAGTCTATAATTGACCTTTGTGGGAAAAAAAGAGCAACTCTGTGTAAACTCGAAAGCTTGTCTCTTACCAATAGAAGGTGGTCCAATAAAATATTACCTCATCCACCTTGTCTCTGATTATGATTAAGGCATTTTAGGGTGTGTGGTCCCAGATTAAATTCAGTTTGTTTGTTTTTTCATATTTCTTACCTATCATAGCATTACTACAGAGCAGAGCTAAGGCTGTTTAGGTGTCTTAATTATGCATTTCTTTCTTTAACATGTTTTGACTTCCTTTAAATATTACCTTAATTTTTAATTTCCTGGGTTTACAATACTTTATTTTTGGATATTTACAACAGTATTACAACAACATTTCTTACACTTAAATTACTGATACACACTATAAATCTTCGCCTCAATGTAGTTCACGTTTCCAGAAATTTCCTTAGTTTTAAATTTTAAAATGTCATACACAAACACTAAAAAAGAAGCCCAAAGAGAATTCTACCATGCAAGATTTCTATTTATTTCAAGATACGTAGTATCAACCTTACTTTGTTTTAATTTTGACTTTTAAAGGGCAGATTCATTGGTGTACGAAAACAGTGCAATGTAGCCAGAGTTCACAAGCCAGTGGATATGGGTTTAACAACAGCTGTGCGTAACACAAAGCTGCCAAAGTGTTCTGCTGAATCTATCCCTTAGCCTTGTAAACCAAAAAGGGCATTGCAGATTGTGTTGCAGAGATCAGTGCTGTGTAAAGGGAGAACAAAGAGAGCCCCGTCCGTAAAACCCAACATGTCTGTGCTTTAAGAGCTTCCCCTGCACTCCCGCCTCAGTTCATCAGTACTTCCTGAATGCACAGTGGAGTTGAGAAAGCAGAGCATGGGGAGCCTTACAAACTCTGATGGCTCAAGCTAGTATGCCACCATGGAATCGTTAAAGAGCAGTGCTGGTTGGACCACAATCTACTGATGAGAACTCCTGACTAGAGACCACAGAGCCTCAAATCAATGAGTCAATATATGCAATAGAACTGCTGTACAAAAATCAGCTGTGGAGGAAGGGTGGCCATTGGTTGAGTAATCTAACATCACAATGACCCCATTTACGGTTACCCGAGCCTGATACAACTCATCTTAATTACAATTTAATTTCTTCAAATATAGCCTATGTCCATGATTTCAATTAATTTTAACTACATGGGAAGTTTGAAGTGTGTTATTTCATTGTTAAGATCATTTGAAACAAAGATGACTTACAGATGCTAAATTTCTTAATGGACTCAAATTAACTAACTGTAGTTCAAAATTAATCAATGGATTTACTTGTAAATTCTCAGAAAATTCATAGCGTATTCAGAGTTAGTGCTGCTAGCTTGGGGAAGATATTGCAAAATTGGAATCATGCTTGCTAAGGGGGGGAACAGGAATAGGGAACAAGGACACAGACAAGACTCTGCGGCATCAGAGGTGGGAAGGGGGACACGGGTAAACGCTCTGCGGCGTCAGAGCTGGGAGCAGAACACTGAGGAATAGACTACCGGCGTATAGAGATACGCCCAACTGGTGTGAAGGGCTTCGGAATATGCTTGCTTAGAAACTAACCCCAAAAAACATCGCATTGTCTGCGCTTCAGACTTCTGGTCTTTTGCTGCTTGCTGTCTGCGTGATAAGAACCAGGAAAGTGGGAGGGTGAAGGGAAAGCCAACACATTTTACTTACAAATCAAAGCAGTGGAAATCCTACTTTAAGTGCAAATTGGAACTCAGCCTTAACTATGGAGTTGCAACAAGCACCTCTGTAACAAAAAACCCTATAATTGCATATAAAAGATTACAAAATCGGTTACAGCACCGTTCACCTCATAGGAACACAATGCCTTTCCAAAATATGCAAAGTGAGTTTGTGGGTCTCAGCCGAATTCCTAGTAGACAGGAATCTCCGTAAACCTCTGTCACAAGTGAGATGGTTTCAGACTCAAAAGGAGAGTGCAGAAGAGACTAAACTCCACTAATGCCCTCACAGGTAACCCCCCTCCATACCAGGGTTGAGGTAAAGTAGACATACAAGGCTATGTGGCACTCTTCAATTATTTCAGTTCTACCTGTTCTATTGATAAAATATTTCAGTTCCCAATGCTGACAATTAAATACCTTACCACAAACAAGGTACTTCAGAAAATCCCACCTGAAGTTCCTTTTGAATAAGGTAGTTTTTAATATGTCGATTTAATATCTAGTCATAGGGCCATTTCAAGAAACCTGTGCTCCAGCAAGCCAGAAGTCCTGTTTATTGTCTAATTCAGTAAAGGAATTTGGCAATTGTGCAAACTGGTTTCAACTGAATTCAGTGGTTCTCAAACTTTTGTATTGGTGACCCCTTTTCACACAGCAAGCCT